TTATTATTATTATTATTATTATTATTATTATTATTATTATTTATTATTATTAATCAATGAGTCCAGTGGCGAGAGTGTCTAAAAAAGTGCTACAAATCACCGCCAATTAGGAATGAGAAGGCTCAATTGTGTTGAATGAGTGAAGAAGGAAACAACCATTATGTGGAGAGCAGTTTGTAAGGGCGGCACAGATGTGTCTCTCTTTATCCGCCAGCTTTTAAGAAAAGCTAAGCTTCAATACTCGATTCTCTCCCCCTCTTCTTTTCATGCTTTCTCTACGTCATCTACTTTCTATCCTTTTCTTACCGAACTTATTGGATAGAGTTGAATAAGATGACCACGACGATCACTTTCACTGACCGCTTGATGGATACGTAAACTTACGAATGCAATCCAATCTTATTAAATTTATCCCGAACATATTCCATTGTTCCATCATTTTGGCGAAACAAAACCGCCGCTGTCGATAATATACACCTTTTCATTCATAGACACACACAAACAAACAGACAAACACACAGACAGACGGACAGATACACACACACGCACACACACATACACAATCATTACTTATCATCCCTTGCTTTTGTGAGCTGAGCTGGGCTTCATCTCATTTTTCTCCCTTATTGTCACACCCTTGTTTTCTACACTTTCCACTCATTCTAATGTCATAAATGTTATGGATTCAGTGGGAAGCATCAATTTCTTGCTGCTAGTGTTAAACAAACAAAACGTGGTCCGGAAAATCGGACGACTGGATCATTGCAAAATCATTGAATGAAGGATTTGAGGACTATAATTAATTAAATCTAAGAAGAGAAAGCAGAATAGGAATTTCGCTTCTCACTGTGTTTGTATCTTCTTATTTTCTATACCTTATATGGAACCTGTTGTTTTTTGCAAATAAACTTGGCCATAGCACTATAACGTAAGTGTATTTCAAAGCTTACCGCTGCTTCTCTGTTTCGATTCATTGGATGTTTCAATTTCTATCCCTTCTCCTTCTTTTCTTTTTTCTAATTCAAATAGACCCTTTCCGTCTTAATTTCATCGAATTTCCTTTCCCATTTTCTCCGTGAAAGCCTTTTGTTCTCTTTTTTCTTGTAAACGAAATAAGTGTTTCTGGATATAACCAGAAAACGGTGGTTAAGGGAGAGAAAAAAGGGGTGGACACGACTGTATCAATGACAGCTCATTTTGTGGATATTGTCCTTTTATGATTAAAATTTCAGATAAATTCTATTCCTTTGATTAGACTTATTGTTGTTGAATACGCTTAGCGCAGTTAATTTTTGCTTTGGACCGAAAAACGTATTTTCGTTTACAAACTACCCAACATTTCTTCCGTTTCGTTCGTAGATTGCATAGGGAATTCAAAAAATCTTCAACATTTTTCCACCTTCTCCAACTTCCTTATTTACTTTTGCACTGCGCTAAAATTACAGAGTACATATATGAAAAATTGGAGCACTTTTCACTCCCCGATTTTTTAATGAAATTTTTCAGAAGCCTTTATTAAGCCATTTCCCTGAGGATTCTTCAATAAACAAACTTCATTTGTTTGATGGTTTCGTATTGTTCAATGAAGAATATTCCACAGTTATCTGCTGCAAGTTATAACTTAGCAAACGGTGAAAAAACTATGAGACCTAATAATAAGGAAATGATAAATCAAGTGTCAAGTTTGAGAAATTAACCAAAAACAATTTTGCATATTGTTCAGAGAAGGCTTGAATCGGAAGTGCATCATCAAATTTAGCAGCATCTTCCCGTATTTGTTCAAGTATTAATCTTCATTTTATGATCTTTCTGGCATGTTTTTTGTTATTGGGTGTGTTAATTACGGACAATTGTTTGTCCCAAGCGTTCTTGGAAGCAGAGCAAATTCGAGAACTTCTTACTAGAACTTGGTTTGTTCTATGCTTTTTGCAGTCCTTAGTGTCACTCATCTCTTTATTCTGGCACATTTCCGTCACTGAGGAGCTTTTGAAGAAAAAACGGAGAGCTATATAATGACGGCCAAATTGCATTAAGCAGTCAATACTTTTCAGCTTTTATTCGCTAGCACTTGAAAACAGAATTGGAACTGACCTCGAACTTTTTCCGCTTCTAAAAGTTGTTACTGGAACTATTCACTGTTTCTTTTTCTTTTGATCTTTGCGCTTTTTCAATGCCAATATGTTGAAACGACAGGGAGAAAGAGGTGGACGATAAATTCCTTTTAACTTTTATAATGAAAGCTGTCTCTAAATAAGGGCAAGAGAAAATCAAGTTACGGGAGAGAAAGGACTGCTATTCCGGAGAATCTGAGGTCTGGAATACCGGGAAACTTGGCTTGCAATTACAAGTTGGTTATTTGGAATATCGAGCAATAAATGTTTGGAAATTTTTCACTTGAACTGTTTTGTTTTGATTGATTGGTTGGTTGTTTCAAGCATATCACTTGATGAGTTTTGAATTTGTTTAACTTAACTCTAACTTACGAAACTGACATTTAAGTGAAGTTGGTAGAAAATCGGAAAGTATACGGAAGTGACGTAAGCAGGCGGGGGAACAACAGTGGATGACAATTTGGTAATTATTTTGTTTCTGTTGGGACAACTGGGAGAAGGGAAATTGACGCTCTTTTGTCTTCAGTTCCTTTTACTCTTGCAATTAGTACAAAAACACTATTCGAAACTAAAAGTTTTTCTTTTTCGACCATTGCATGTTTATTTAAAAATAGCTTAAGCTTTTTGCTCTCTTAAGGAACGTCCATTAGAATTTGCATACCTATTTTGATTTTTAAATATAGCTATTTACTGTTATACGCAATTCATTTTAATTTTCGTGAAGAAACTGTGGGAATAGTTTGAACTTATTTTGCGTCATTGACGTTGGAAAAGCAATTATTATGACTTCTTTACTTTCGACATTAAGGGTTATTAGGAAGTGGAAATCGAAGTCGGCGAAAACAGCCTTTAGGTCGTAATTTGAGATGCTTTTGATGGCCTGCTTCCGAACAGCAAAACTATTCTTAAATTTATGTCTGTAGTACTGCCATATGGACAGTGGTCAACCTGCAGATGCATGGTGTAGCAGTACCGCTCGAGCATTTGATATTTTCAGTCGACGTGGATCACTTCTTGCTGTCGCACTCGGTGGTTAATATTTTGCTTAGATTTATTTCAATTATCAAAATATATGTAATAATACAACTGTTTTTATCAAATTTAAAAGAATCAAAATGCATTAATGCTAGTGCTTTAGGTGAGCAGTGATTAATGATCTTCGTAACCAATAGTCAGAATACTCGTAGTATCCGTCGTTCAGTGATAGAAAAGATTAAGCTACGGTAATTTGTTCTACTACTGATGAAGAAGTGGAAATTACAGAGCAATTTCACCAACCATAGAATAATATTCTTCCATGATTTGTTCAGAATCAGTCACGCAATTTGATTCAAGAAGCAGTAACCAGCTTTCGACACATTGCAAAACATTATAGTTCAAATTCACCCCATTTCCAGGGATTAACAGTGAAGGAATTTCATCATTACCTGCTTACAAATCATCAAAAATTACCGCACCTACCCTTTATTCGTCCAATTATCAAAATGTTAGTAGCGGCAACAGTGGTCACAGTGACAACCCAACGATGACATCCTGTACGTCTGCCTATCATTTGACCCTTTTTTATCATTATCGAAACGCAATCGTTTCACCACATAATAAAGCCTACCTCGGGATCAGGCGTCTGCATTCTGAAACAGTGACCTCTAATTCTCGAAATTAGCATGGATGCTTGAGGATATCCAACCGATCTTGGTTAGAATGAAATTTGTCCTCATGATCCTCAAACATGTATCTCAGTTCGATCTATTTATGATTTGCAGTATGTGAAGATTTTATAGGCTCTGCGCATAGCCTTGCGACAACATCAGCAGTAACCCTTTCTGGATCCGTTCAAACTAATGTGTCGGTATCACACTTTGATACCCATGCTGCTTGCGATCCCGATTATAGCGCACAAATTGCTCCTGAACGTATTAGGTTTTATTTTTCTATCAGTTTGACACTCATTATGTCCTGAATCTTTGACGACACTATTGACACTATGGACGACTTGTCAAACATTTCAAAAAATCCTTTAGTTGAACAGTTTAAGTAACAGTTCAATATTTTATCTATCAATTACTTTTCTTTGGAAAAGCTTTCAAGAACTTTAACTATCAATCTTGAGAAAGTTATCAATTTCGTAAATTATAGCGAGTGGCGACCATGCTATCCACGTCTCTGTGCTCATCATGATTGTGTAAGCCTCGCATCAGCTTGGGGGCTTGGTCCGCCAACAACGTCTATCGAACCTCGTCCAACTGGAGCATCCCAGGCTCAGAGTCCGTGTGAAGATGACGCGGGTGATGGCAAATCTAATGATCTATTAGCAAACTGTCCAGCTTTCAGGTATTTCATCTTCTTTATAATCTGAGAAAATGAAGTACAAGTGAAGCGTTTTGTCAACTTTAAACTTTCCGCTTATCCTAATTACGACCATTTGCACTTGGATTTTTTTAGAAATGAATTAGGTGGTGAGCCAATTCGCCGCCTAGCCCTTTCTCGTCGCCTCAGTGTTGCTTCAGTTGATAAATTAAGGAACAAGAATGAAACGTGGCAGCGGGAACACACAGCTTCTGAAATCGGCATTCTGGAAGATGTGAGCAATGTCTACCTTGGCGGCAGGTAATCCTGTTTTTTCGTCACCCCGTCAACTATTTTTTTAGAGTTGATTGACTTCGATACGCTCTGGAACAATGCTGTTTGTTTATTGAGAAACAAATTTGTCTTTTCGTCGACTAAAACGCAAAATGCCTTTCTCAAAAGAATGTTTTTGGACATTTTTGGCCTTTGAGTCGTTGGATAAAGGATGTCGCATCCAGTTATTGCAATAGTGAATTGGCGTAGTAAAATTTAAGGGGAATGGAAGTGAGCCGATAATAAATTAAGGAGGAATTGGTCAAATAATCAAAATATATAGGGATGTTACTAATATTCTGCTATAATTTTTTAAATAGAATGATAATCCTTCACATTATTGTTACTTAAAAGAAGCAATATTCTTTATCATTTAGTGGTCAACAAATCTGTGAGTAGTGCTGTTAATTAATCTGATTAATCCTACATATACATATCCGCATACAATGAGATTAATCATTATACATATGTGATCGTGGGATGTTCGAAGTAGAGGCATAAAATAGGTTTTAAAAAGATTATATGTTGAAGAGAGATGAAAACTTCTCTATCAGAAGTTTTCCGTCGTTGAGGTTTCTGGAAAAATCTGACAGATCAAAAAGAGGAGGGTTTTCTAGAAGTTTCTAGAAGAAGCAAAAGTGAAAGGGTGAAGACTACAGATACACAGTAAATTCGTTCATTAGAAATGTAAATTGGATAGTACTGAGATCCTTTAGGAAGCTGGAAAACCAAATCCAAATCACTGCAAAATTCTTCCAATTGGAATGAAAATAACATTGATTTTGTATCACTATTATGGTCTTTTTTCTCAGATTGTGCGCAGCACGTCAGCAAAAAATTGTTATCGAGCCTCAAGATATTGGCGCTTACTACTATCGGCACTGTTTCGTTGGACGACGTAAGTTTTTTTCGCTTCTTATTATCTCGAATGAAAAGGTTTGAATGCATGTTTTGATGATTCCAGATGTTCTTATAATTTGACAATAATCTGCTCTTCACAATTTGTAAATATCAAGTTTCAGCTCACTGGAACTTTTTTGGTATTGATGAAACACTTGGTCCAGTTGCCGTTTCGGTAGTTCGTGAGCGGATTGAAAGCGATATCCAAAATGTTACCATTTATCGGATGATTATCCGGCTCAGTGATGTATTTTTTCAATATTTATCAAACCGTTTATCAAATTGTGTACACTGATTCATTAGCAGAAGCTTAGTGCTGTTAGCCGGACTGTCTGAATCTGGAATAAGCTGGCCTATGGAAAAATCTTCCGTAATGATGTTTTGAAATGAAGTTTGCTCAAAATTTGTGTACACTGCCACTATTTTTTCCTCTGAAAATCCTGCGAAATCTGCGATATACTCCTGTCATCAGTCACAGAATTGAGCTTTAACATGATTTATCATTTAATTATATATTGTTATTGGCAATAAATGTAGAATTATTTCAGCTTTGTACACTTCGAGTTGCAATACCCGAAGATGTTCTTTCGGATAACAATGCCGATCAGAAAAATAATCGATTGTTGATAAAAGAATTATTAGAAATTGCATGTCCACAAATACACTACGGAATTCTTCGTCCAGCTAATCCGTCATTTACACGAGTGGAAGATTTTCTTGTCAAAATTGATGAACAGGTTTGCTCGCAAATTTCTTACACCTGTTTGAAAATGTAAATTGCTGGATTTTAAAGAGGACATTTTGAATGAGGTAGAGAAGGAGAAATTTGGAAGAATGGAAAAACAATTTTTGATATTGTAAAATCATTCACATTGCTGCAAAACTTAGTTACCTCGCAAACAAAAGACAGTATGGTAGTTCGATTTGTCCTCTTCACTTCAAATTTATTTCCGGAAAGTAAATTCCGTTATACTGTATTGGTTTTAGCCGATTTATACTCGATACAAAGTTGGCGTGATGTATTGTGGCGTTTGTCAGTCCACTGAAGAGCAAATGTATAACAACGGTATTTTTTCCTTTCTAATATTTACGATTTCGACTTAAAGTGATTTCGGCTCAGCTTAAAATTCTTTCATCCCATGCCATTGCTAAACAGATATTTCAAAATTCTAAATAAATTTAGAAAGCTCTCCACAATTCAAAACCAACGACGAAAAGACAGAATTTTTCGAAAACTGTTAAAGAATGGGAAATTTTAAGCTGTTGTAAAAGTGCCGAGTTATTTCCTGTCCTAATATCTATCTGCTTATTTGAATATTTTCAGTCTGAATTTCTGAACATTTCAGCAATTTTATTTGAATCCTACTACTTCCTTCTCAAGACATTACCAGGATCATTGAGACTTTTTGTGTCAATTTCCTTTACTGAAATTTTTACCGGAATCAATACCCTGTCACTATCATTTTGAATATAGAGGATTCGTAGTCTAACCATAAGTTATTAGTTACGACATTCCATAAACACATTAATGAATTATTAGTTAAAGTTGAATTTAAAGTTAAATTCAATTTCAGAAAGCGGATCTCCTGCTTTCGAGGAATTTTTAGACTTTCTTGGGCAACGTATACGATTGAAAGGTTTTGATCAGTATAAGGGGGGTCTTGATGTGCGTGGCGACACAACGGGTACACATTCGATATATGTCAAATATCAGGCACATGAAATAATGTTCCATGTATCAACACTTCTTCCTTTTACTCCTAGCAACAAACAACAGGTGAGCAGGCTTTTATGCCATGAGCTGTAAGTTCATTCCTTTCATTCACTTAAAAGGTCAACCGATCAGTGGTCATTTTTCGGTATCTTTACTGAAATCTGTATGGATTTTATTTAGTCTCAAGAAGCACTATTCTTTCAGCTTGCTCGGAAAAGGCACATTGGTAATGATATGGTTACTGTAATCTTCCAGGAGCCTGGTGCTCTTCCTTTCAGTCCAATCACCGTTCGTTCCCATTTCCAGCATGTTTTCATTATTGTACGAGCCAATAATCCATGCACTGATGATGTAACATATAGGTATGAACTTTAGATTTCATTTCTTTGCATTCATTTACAGAACCAGATCCACTTATCTCCATGTGCACTTGTGCTTATGAGTCAGCTGTAATATTGGAGTCAAATTGTGGATGTAAATGCTGACAAATGTTTATAATATTCTGCTTCTCATTACTGTATTACTGATTGATCTTAACAGCACCGTATTGTTAGCATAATTTATAGTATTGCTGTATCGCGAGCGAAAGATGTTCCAGCTTTTGGACCTGCCGTACCTCAAGGAGCTACATTTCCAAAGTCCTCTGAATTCCATGACTTCTTCATCACAAAAAGTAAGTAAAGAATAGTATATATTTTCATTCCACTACATTTCAATTCAAACTTCCTTTTTTTTTTGCTTACAAACGGCAACTCAAAAGAAATTTTAAATTTCTTTGAGAGAATGTCGAATGTAATTCTTACCATTTATCTTCCCTGGTTTGATTCAATATCTCGTGACTGATCAATTGGACAGTTGGATAACTACCATCCAGAAAAATGAGAATACAAAAAGTCAGGGTAATACCTTAACTTTTCTAGTAATAAACGCCGAAAATGCGGTACATCGTTCGAAAAAATTCGCAGCGATGGCGGCACGCACCCGTCGAGAAGCACTGAAGGAAATTGCTGAAAATTTCGCTTCAACTCACCCGAATGATGGACCTGCGAAAATTGCAAGTGAGTAAATTGCAAGCAAGTGGTTTTTTCATGATATTATTGTAAAAGGAATGTGAATTATTTTTCCAATAAATGATAATTTGTGATTATCTCAGGTCGATTTTTGGTCGGATCGGTGAAACGAAAAGAGCGATCGTTACCGCGACCGTTATTCAGCGAATCATTACATGGAGCGCTTTCGTGGCTTGTTGAAGTTCACGACTATTCACAAAACCAATCGATCACATGTGTTCTGGGTATATCTGGTGAAACTTTGGCTATTCTAGAAATGCCATCCGGTGAAGTTATTTGTGCGATACCTACACATTCTGTAATTGGTTGGGCCAACATGGATTCAGGGTACATACACTTTTTACTTTCTCTGTTTTTTTTTTGTAAATTGTACGCTTCTGTCAACTTCTTCTGCTTGTACCACATACTCTTAAGCCGAAGTCCTTTTATCAAATTCACTTCACATTTTAACTGATGGTTTTTCCTTTCGTCAAACATAAAACAGTTCCCATTATTTTGCAAAATATCTAAAAGTTGAATAAATATGAAGGAAATGTTACTTAAAAGTTGGAAACATATTGTTGTTCTAATGATACGTAAGTGAAATAATTGAATTGAATTTGAAAATTATATACAACAAACTTACTTTAGATCTCTTAGCATTTATTTTTTAAAAAATAAAAATTCTTTTTTAGATTGAAAATTTATTTTGATCATGGAGATGTGCTGCTTTTGAGATGCTGCAAAACTGATAATAGTGATCGGGAATTGTCTGCATTGATACGACGTTTGGAGGGTGTTACGAAAGGTAGTGAAAGAAATTTTATAAATTTATATAAAAATATATTTATTCTTTACACTTCGCATTTAGGCTGGTTATATTTTAGACTAACTTCTTTAAGGTTATTCTGACGCTTTACTTTTTCTCTCCTCAGATTCTGAGTGCTCTTTCTTATGCTTACGATAGATGAAAATAGTTAAAGTTTTCTCTGCTTCATTTGAGAATTGACCATCCAACTGGTTTGACATCTTACGTGATACCTTCGCAATTGATTATTGAAGGCGATGAAGCTAAGGAAGTGTTACACCGACGTTCACGAGTTTCTGACAATTTGGGCTTCCATCTGCAGGAAGAAGGCGTTGTTACTGACGTAGAAATGTATCATACAGCATGGAGATGTGGTCTGAGACAAGGATCACGCATTGTTGAGGTTGGAATGGTGTTGAATTTCAATAAAATTTTAGATCACTAGCCAAAAAATCCAAGTGAGAACGAAGTCTCATTTCGGCAACCATTTACTTTTATAATGGATAGTAAATATTAGACTAAGAAAGTTTGATCTTGAAATCGACATCATTTAATACTTTCCATGAATTCTTTCGACCTCTTTTCGGATGGAAGTACTTTTCCCCGGGATCCCCCAACATTGAATTTTTGATTTTTTCACCAGCCGATTAATTTCTTCTTTATCACATAACCATTTTGAACATGTTTTGCAAATTTAAGAAGAGATGAAATAAGCATTAGTTTGCAGATTGAAGGTAGACCAATTGTCACAATGAGTTACAACGAAATTTGTGATCTGATGGCACATCGAACCTCCCTTCGACTGATTATGATTTCACCGGCTTCTGATGGTTCACCTCGTAGGGGTTGTGCTGATCCTCATTGCCCTGCCGTGAGCGGCGATGAACAGGTGTTGCTGATGTCTGATACATTCGCAAAACGAAATATGAAGTAAATTTTTTCCTATTGCATTCTGAAATCATTATATTCTATGAATTTTGACTGTATGTAGTCAACTTTTTCATTATCGCAGGACCTTGCTAACCATCAGGCAAATATAAATATATAATAAAAATTTCAGTTCATAGAGACTCTTATCCATTTTTCTTTGTCTATGCGGAATTTATTTTCTTCAGGATACTGATTGGCAGTCGTCGTCTACCTTTTGTTAAATGTCAGCTGACGATGGATAAGTTAGGATTAAAGTGTCAGAAATTTTGTTGGTCTATAAAAAAGACGATGATGTGTCTGGGTCATTACTAAAACTGATAAATTTAAACAAATACTTTATTATAATTAATTGTCAGCTATTTCAGTAGTTTCAGAAATGAACAACTTCGTACGCTCAATAATTGGGACAAAAGTAGAAAACAGTCAAATAGTTTCGAAGATGAGTCGATTGTAAAGAACAGGCATACTGCCGTAAGTATTACAACACTCACTGATTATATATTTTATTATATATAGAACGGAAATCAGTAATCGTAAAATAGGAACTTATTGAAATCGTGAAGTCAAGTTTGTCTTCCTCGCATTAAATTATAGATTCTGAACTGAACATTCATTCATTCTTTAGTTTCTTTGACTTTGGGACGAAAATTGATTTGCATTTTTTTTTTTGATCAATTTTTATAATAAACGCTAAAATCTGTTTGTTTAAATTTTGGATAATTAATACACCTACTTTAATTGGGTTTTTTTTTTTTTTGCAGATGACAAAGTTTGCACGTTACGAAAGAGTTAGTTATTTATGTTGTGAAAGACCTGCAAAAGCTGAGTAAGTGTTTGCAAAATTTTGCGATTTAAGAAAATTAATTGGTTATATTGGTCAAAAACTAAGTTGGATTTAAGTTTAAGTTTTAAATTCTAAAAAAAAAATAATCTTTATAATATGGAATCGATAAAAGAGACTGTTGAAACGTTGTGGTAATTTTCGCACTATATGATTGTGAAAAGTTCAACTCACCGCTTTCGTGCTAACAACAAAATTGATAAACAAATTTGATTGCATGCCAGTTTATTTATGACTTTCAGGCCTGTCAAATGGAAAACTTTCAGTAATTGTCTGTATGAATCCACTTACAAAGCACAGGTAGCTTACATTAAAATCTTCCGACAACGAACTTCTTCGAATGGTCAAAATAATTTTATTTATTGGAATATTTTCTCTGTCTTTTTTTGATAAAATCCATGCATGATCCTCTTTCAATTTAAATTTCAACAAATTTATAATATTCTAATTAAAAAAAGAGAAAAGAACTTGAGAGGACTTTTTTTTTAAATTACCGCACGATGAAGAATGATATGATTTGAAATCCTTTGGAATCAGCTCATTTCACTTTTAAAAATTGGAACGTTTTTTGTCTTAGCAAAATTAATGTGATGGTGGTGCTTTCAAAAGACTTATTTCTAAAAAATGAAGTTGACTTATAATTTTGACTTATAATTTATTCCAGGGCCGAATAATGCGTGTCCGTTCTGAAGATTCATTAGTTCTATCCGCAGAAAAATGCTACAATATCTGTCCCGTAAACTCTTTCTTCATAAAATTCATTACAGCGTTGATTTTATTGAAGATTAATGTCTCGGAATTTCTGATAAACTTAACGTTGGTTTTCTGATAAACTTAACGAGGGAGTTTGTAGTGCAGTTCCACTTTGTAATAGCAATATTCCATGAAAAGTATCTTTTTGTCTTCCCTACCACTGAACCACTGAACGTTTTAGTCTTCAAGATTTTTCAATAGGAACAGGGAATCAAGCTTACGAAACTTTAGCGTAAATAAGTTGATTTGAAAAAATTGAAAAAATTAGATTTTGCATTTCCTTTGATGTGAGAGTTTGGAAATTATTCGCTGCAAAACATGAAGAAAATCATATGAATTGGATATCAAATTCATTTCAAACTCAAAAATCCATTCTCTTTTTTAATTTTAGCAGTCTCAAGGCGATACTTGTGATCGTAGTATTATATCCAAAGCGGAAGAAGCGGGAAAAATAGTTGCAAAAAAGAACGCTGAATTGGAAAAGAGTAAAACACAACTGCAAGAAACACTGCGAGAAAAGCAAGCTTTGGAAGCTATGATTTCCCGTTTAAAGGAAGAACTCACGAAAGTAAGTTGGCGATCTTCGTCTAATTAACATGTGCAATTAATTCACTTCTCCTTACTATCTTCAAGAACTGATAGCGAAGGGTTTTCTTCACAGACTCATTATGCGTGCAAATAAAGTAAATAAGAAGCATGTGGAAGTGAAATTAGATTGGAAAATATTCCTAGACAAGAAGTCACTCCAGTTATTTATTCGGTACAACAAGAAGAGTACTGAAGCATATGAGGCAGCACTCGTGTCGAATAAGATTTAGCATTTCAAATTACCCAATTTT